CAAAGTCATCATTACTAACCTATGAAAAGAGCAATTCAGCTGTCAGACTGGATCAAATCAACAAGTTAGACACAGTACTGTGAAGCATATTAGATCACAAAACATGCTAAATCATCCTATTAATACTAAAATAATCCTAACACAATCTTAAACAGATTTTCTAATACATCTGAAAGAGGATATTAAGAAGGTAGCTGTATAACCATTACACACACGGATTACAGAGTCCCTCAATATTGAAACAAAATCACCATCTAACATCTGATTCATGTCCTCAGCACCAGTTATAAAACTTTCTCTCTAAATCCTCACTTTTCCCCTTTATGGGTAAGCAAACCCTTGCTTCTCAGGCTCTGTCACCAACAGAATTACCGAGATAGAGATGTGGGTCTTCCCAGGCACTTCCATCTCCTTGCTGATGTCATCCAGCACTGAAACTATGCAGCTTCTTATCCTTATTTATTACTGTACACACTCAAAAGAGCCAGTGTTTGCACCTTGGGAGCTACTCTGCCAGTGCCAGGGAAGGTGGGCTTATGCAATGAGTCTTTAGTATCTCACGTAGCCACGATTTCTTGTCCCATCAGTCTGCTACCTTGCATAGCTGCTTTCATGGTCTATGTTGAAACCTTGATCTGTCTCAAACTAAAAAGCTCAAAGGGGCTAGGATGAAAGTGTAAATGAAAGATAAAAGTAGATTATTACAACAAAATTTAATTGAAAAACGTATCCACAGACTTTGCAACTCTATCTTTTCTAGGTTCTAGCAAGTTAAGAGCATTGAGGTGTCATGTACATTTATTCTGGGTTCAGCATCCCCATTTTGCACTCTGGATGAGCAGCTTTCCCTGAGACATCTTCTGAACCAAGACACTAACTGCTTGTTCCTCTAACCTCCTCAAGAAGTTCATCCAGATCAGACAGAAAATACACAGTGTTCAGAATAGAACATATTTCTCTTGGACCACTTTGTGAGATCATAATTTTAATGAGTTATCCAAAAATAGTTGGTATTTTGAAGACCATGGAGTCTGCAAGTCTGACCTTCCCCCTGTCCAGCACTAAAAAAAGTCTAATTACAAGATCATGGCAGGCTGTTTATTTATTTTAATGGATTTGGGGCAACATCATGTCACCAATCCAAAAAACATATACAAATGGATTAAAAGCAGCAACTTCAGCTCCCAGGGAAGTCAACCAAACTGCTGCGGATACCTCTCCACTTTTCTGGAAGTGGAAACCCTGTACAGCAAAAACTACAAGATCCACCAGAATAGATTAAAAAGCAATAAAAGTACAGCATAATTCAGTAGTCTATTGGCAAGGTGCTCAGCTGAAGCAGCCTGGGTTTCCTGTTGTTATCATTTGACAGATCACAGAAGCAGCCAGAGTGGGACAGAGGCATTGCTAGTGGGATTGAGGTGTGGGCCCTGTGAAGTGGGAGCTGCAAAATAAACTTTCTTAATATCAGCTATTATCAGTGATACTTTCTCCATTGCACAAATGAGCCAAAGGAACACACCAAAACAAAATGGGGTACCTGTAAAAGAGGGAACATTATGCTTCAGAAGTTCGTAGTTCCCACATTGACTTTTACCTGCCTAGGATTTGATAGCACCAGTACTGCCAGTGACTGACCTATTGCAACTGCCTTCATAACTCTAAAGCACAGAACAGTCTGCCACACTCCTCCATGCACCATCAAGGCTTAAAAAAAGAAAGAAATATCACTTTCATTTATTTCTGTGGCTCCTTGATCTTGGAAAAAGCAGTTCAACACCTACAGAATACCTCCCCTAAGGAGATAACTGTACAAGTAAAGTTCAAGTATCCCATCGTTGATTGCATGTGTTTCGTACTAAGCTCCTTTCACTATAATGTGTTTTCTACAATAGCTGATAGATTTTTCCAATCCTCCTTTGGGAGCCAAAAATGACTTTGCCGAGGATTGCTAGTGGTTTGTAAAAGCTCTTTTTCTCTTTCCTTCACTGACAAAACTCAGTTCTTGAATTAAATGTTTGAAAATCTCTAGAAATACTTTTAAATACATGTGAAGTGTCTTAAAAGATGGAAATTATGCTAGCAGTAGAACACAGGTGGGGGTACAAGAACACACCAAGCTGCTCTAGCAATTTGATTTTCTAACCTCATAATATCACAGGTTGTGTAAACCCAAATCAAAACTCTCTGTTTACACTCTTATCAACCACTATGTTTATTCTTACGCAGAGGCCTTCATTCCAGCAAGCATCTCTGTCCAGAAAAGTATTGACATTTCTGCTTAAATTTAAACTTAAGTCCCATTCAGTAGGATGTAAAGGACATTTAAAAATCCGTATACCTAAAAAGAGACTGACAGAGGCATATTTTGAGTCAGAATTTTATTAATGTTCCCTGAAGGTTATATAAGATCAAATGGATAGATTGACTTTGCATTGTATTGCAGTGACTTTGTACAATGTTTGGGAAAATGAAAGCATTAATGAGATATCACCTGAATACTTTTTCATTGACACTATGGGTAATAAAATGTGAAATGCTTTATTTCTCCAAATGAGGTCAGCACACATGGATAATTGCCTGAAACAATATAATTTTTGTTTAACTTGTTTAATTGTCTAGGTAACTTGTTTGTTCAAAATCAATATGCGGTAAAAAAATTCCCAATGTTTGACTTGTAAGAAGCCCTGGCTTTCATGATTAATTCTGCAGTCCCTGCTGGCAGTCCTCTGGTGGTTGAGCTTAAACTCTCCCATACAGAGTTTTCAGTTTAAATAACCTGGAATTATGCAAGAGTCGTCTTCTTAACTGCTTTCTCTCCAGGAATTCAGAGCAGATTCATATTTATTCCTTATATTTGTATTTATCTGTGCATTCATCCCTTCTTTTGCCCCCTGTCATAAAACCAGCTGAGAAAAAAAATGAATGAATCCTATTTTGGTAGCTGTTCAGCATCAGTTATCTATGTAAAAAAAAAACAACACAGAAGCATTCTAAAGACAAAGCACAGAGGACTAGAGAGACCTCGCCTGAAAATACTGAGTTAACTTTATGAGTATATCAATAAAATTGGCATCTAGCCACAGTTTGGTGTTTCTCTGTCTTTGGTACTAGATCCAGATGTCTGGATTTCTTCTGCTAAAACAAGTTTGCATCTTAATGCTTTAGCATTTGATTGCCAAGCTCTCTGCTTGGAGCTCTCCACTTGAATTCTCAGCTGGAAGTGCGTGTAACATACTCATGTGTGGACTTGGCAAGAGGAGCCCTACATGCTGGGCAGTACATGAATTCTCTTCACCATCTTGCAGGATCAAATCCGTATCCCAAGATCCAACACAGCTCAGAGCATAAAGGTTGCCAGATCCACATTTATGCTCAAATAAGTATCTGGCTTTTCAGGAATTGACAAGAAAAGATCACTGGCTTTTTGTTTCAGCCAACCCCAAATTTATGCCAATAGATAAATTCATCAGCATTAAAGGGGTGAGATCCCTCGCTAGCATACATCTGTTTGAAGAGCTTTACTGATGTTAAAGTAGTTTCATCAGTTACTGTAGGTGAGGCTCTGTCCCAAAATGTTTCAGAATGCTGAAGACTTAAATTTATAGCTCTGTACCACTTTAGCAGGGCTTTCAATCCCTCATTTTAATAAAATAAGTGCCACTAAATGGCTGGATCACGTTCAAATTCTTCTCACAATAGCAGACATGGTAAGGAAAGAGTAGACTCTCTGCCATGTGAAACAATTACATCATGTACAATCAAAGAAAGAAAAGGGAAAAGAAAGCAACTAAATCAACACACTGTGCATCCATTCATTTTCCTGTGTCATTTAGCATATGGTCACTCATGTGATCAAGAGAGTAACTGGCATTTTTCCCAGTTAATTCACCTCTTTTCTCTGTCCTCTGTTGTAGCACCAGTCTTTCAGCAAGATTTCAGGTTGCAATCCCCTTGGAGAATGAACAGTCCTTATTAAATGCTTAGAAAAATACAACTTATTAGTGCATTGAGACTAATTAATGTGCTATCTTAATCAAATAAAGGATCTTAATTAAAAAAACCCAAACAAAACAAAACATACTTGGCATAAATATTTTTCTTTCTCTGTTTCTCTCCCTTTATATTAATTACCAATGGAATGAAGTCCTGCAGCTGTAACAGCTGTCTTAATAAGGTAACTTCTCAAAAAGTAAGGGGTTTTTGTCCTGAGGTTTGGTGGTTATATTGATGTGAACTGACTAATACTTTACAGAACTTAGCTGTGAATCACTCCCTGCAAATAAAAGGCAAGGCACATAAATCTTAGTATGCTTGCTCTTCTCAATTATATTTCTGAAGACGTCCACTTGATCTTGCTATCTATTCAGCATTACATGTCTGAAGTCTAGATAAGTAAAGTCTAGACATCCATAGTGACCTGACATAGTTTTTTTTTACACTGTTTACAAATTAGGATGTACATTCAAAATACAGAATGCTGTTTTGCTCAGTAAAAGCTGGATTCTGTGTTGATGCAAATGCATTTAGCTTTAACTGATACCTATTGCATAAACAATGCAATGAAATGAAGGCCACTGTGCTATATGGATCGATACAATGAAGGATCTGAACTGCAGAATGGGTAGGGAAACCTTGTTTCTATGGAAAAGATCAAGGAAAATCAGTATTTACTAACCTTAGGTGGCCTAAGGTCTTTGAGGAGTATGAAGAACAGTACTGTTCAAACACCATTTGTTGGGTTTTTTTTCTCCTTTATGTTGTTTCATTACCTGGTAATAAATTAGTAAAGGGAGGAGACTTTGTTTACACACCTGAAGTCCAGGAGGATAGCAATTCCCAGAGCTACATTCTGCCTGAAATGTTCAAGGACATGCAGCTGACACAGTGGGCCTCTTGACTGCAAGACAGACAGCTCCAGGCCACAAAGCTGCAGTATAAAACTGTTTACACCTACCTAAATTCAAACTGACAACTGGCCCTTGTTTTATAATGCTGAGTTCTCAACTTTTGGACACCAAAACATATCTAGAACAGGAAAAAGAGTACACCAGATGATTGTTTTTTATTCTATTTATTGATTTTTCCACTTTTTGGGTAAAAAATCCTTTAAAGTTAAGCATTTAGTTCTGAAAAAAATGCAGCTGGAAATTTATGTCAATTGCACTTAAATATGATATAATGTTTTCACTAAAAATAGAGCTTGTTAAGGAGAGGAGTTAAATTTAATAATAAACCACTGCATTAAATGGAAACAGAAATTTAATCATAAACGTCTGCATTAAACGGAAGCAGCAGGTTGAATAAAGGACTTGAAAGATTCCTGTTTTGCAGACTTTGCTTAATTATAACTCCTAATGAGGTGATGAAGTCTAATGTTTCAAAAACAGTCACTAATTTCATGTGCCAGACTTCAACCTTCTCCAAAAAGCAATTAATTTTGAGTTTCTGACTAGTCATAACTCCCCATAAGCTGTGTGTCGAGGGCATCTGAAAATGAAGGCTTACAGCTGACTGATTTTATCTGTTTCACATTCATGCCATAATTATTTTGAATTTTCAGTCTTTTTAGGACAAAAAATATTACACAACAATTCACTAAAATCTGTTTATTGAAAGCTGCCATGAAATTTGTTGGGGCAAAGACCATGGACTGAAGAGCCTGGCTGTATGTTTGTGAACACAAACTGTCATACAAGAACTTCTGAAAATGAGCAGTCTGACTTTTCCAGCTTTCCTTAGTAACTGAGAGATGACCTTACAGCTAATTTGAATTGGCATTATTTCTGTTGTTTTCATTTTGAGGGGACTGGCATTTCTGCTTATGCAAATGTGTTCTTCATTTGTTTCTAATAAATAATAAAATGACGAAACTAGCAAACACTGTTCATAATTCCTTTCAGGTTTTGCTGTATCAGGTTTGTCATGGCTGTTTGGTTTTCAGGTTTGCCTTATTATATCTTTGTTTTAAAAATGAGTAAAATATTCTGGGTGAAGTCTTGCATTACTCTTTGTTCTGCAACATATTTTGCTAGCAAGCCCCCGGTAGTATCTAAAATAGTATAAATCATCAGTTTTTAATCTGGCAGGAAGTAGATAGTGGCCCATTAAACTTTCGTAATTAAATTTCCCCTGCACTCCCCCATAGAACCATTATCTGAGTTTTCTAATTAACACAAGAGGAGGGAGTAAATTCAGAGTGATGGGATCTATAGCCATCCCCTTTCATTTTAATGACCTTTAATAAACTTTTATTACTATTGATATTGATAATTAGAATACACCCTTTCCTCTGCAATGTGATTCTAAGGGCCTTGTCAAAAATTGAAAAATTCTTCCTCAGAGTTGGAACATGGCAAATGACTGTGTCCTCAGACACCCAAAATCCAGAGCCTACAACATCAGCAGGGAAATGAGACAAAGTGTAGGCAAGTACGTTGTGAGTGTCCCCTGTCACACATCTCTAATGGGTTATGCCTTGGTCCTGGTCCACCACAGCCCTCTGCTCTTGCAGCAGAGCCTCCCCCAAATGGACTGACACGAGTCCTGAATGATGAGGTGGTTTCATGACAGATAACCACAAGGAATTATGCAGAGTTCATTTATGTTATTTTACTTACAGCTTTACAGAGGTCAGATACTAGAGAGGAGGATTAACCGTTGTGACACATAGTCCTTCCTTAGATTTTTCATCAATGGCTTTTATACTAACTAAACATTTTTACATGGAGCTTTTATAGGTAACCTCTAACCTCATCACAGCCTCAGTACAGCATGCCTCATATATCCTCTGTGATGTAAGCAATTATGTTCCCATCAGTATCACAGTGGCACAGGTTTTGTTGCTGAAATGAGACGCAAGTTGAGCAGAGAGATTTTCTTTCTGCCGGACACGTAAGGCAGAAGGCATTCTGTCCTCCAAATCAGGAGGTCCTTTTCCTACCCCACACTGCTCTCAAGCATGCACATAATTTTGAATAGGTGAGCAGCCTGCACAACTACAACTGCTCATTTACTACAGATTTTGTGGGCACACACTCATCCCTGCACTTCCTATGGGATTTCCAGGTACCTACTGGCACTTAGGTCTGTGGATGTTGGACAGTCCCATTAATGGATTTGACTCTGCTGCTTGGCCTTTCTTGCAGTCCCATGGACACCTCAAGAGGCCTTTCCTTCTGACAGAGCATGGGTGTCTGCTCTGCAGAAGCATCTATTACCTAGCTGCCTTCAACATCAATCAAATTACAGTTCTTCAGGGGCTGGACACCATCCACAGGCTGGCAACATGACTTCACTACTGGGTGTTCTGAATCTTATGGCTTTCTTAATAAACCCTCAAAGCTGAATGTCTTCTTAATATTTTGGAGAAACATTTTAAGTTGGATCCAGAGGTTCTAATTTGAGACCATCTTCAGTTTTCAGTAATTATTTCTGATTACGGGTTATGAGCATTAAGATGATCAGTGTAAAAAACCCCAAGTTGCTTATATAACTATAGGTATCAAATGCAGAAAAAAATGACTGAAAATTTATTGTAAATAAGAGACACAATAATTATATTATTATTTTTTGTGAACTCGGTTTTGAAAGTCTGTGATTCAGACAAATGAAATCATAGGTCAAACACACTGCTTTCAAAAAGGAACTCTGTGAAATAGCGCAGAGTCATTGCAGATTAGCTGCAAATGATTTAGCAGCTAATATTATTGTAAGACATGAAGAATGCATTTTCTGTAAGAGTATGAAAAAAAATAATCTTTATTTAATATCAACACTCAGTCATAGCTGGTGCAATCCTAAATTTAGATATGGTAAAAAGCAATCATTAAATTGAATTAGAGAGTTTATTAAGGAGTTGATCTTTCCTTCTGTTGCTTGAATTACTGATGATCAGCATTAAACTCATTTTACAAATGCAATCAGAATTACATTTATGTTCTTGCCTCTTTTCAGTAACTTCAAAACATTCATCTGATGCTTGCGAGTGAACTTTGCATGTTAGACCCGCAGGACTAACCAAGCTGGTTTCTGAAATACAGTGGTAGGAATTAGTGGTAGGTATGAACTGGGTGAAAGGGGAGAGAAACTGCTTCATGAATAAGGTATGCAAGAAAATTTGGCATACGTTGTTGAAGTGATTATGAGGTCTGTGTGAAAGCAGTAGTAGGTAAATTTTGGCTGGCACAGCATATAGATACACAAGAGGAAAACCACAGCCAACAGTGTGATTGCAGGACAGGAACCAGCTGCCTAGATTTTACCTCCTGAAAAACTAACGAGGAAAAGCACAGGGAGAGATCCTCTGTGACTTACAGTATTAGCAATATAACAAAGCACAGTTGAATGGGTAGCAAACATGATTTCTGCCTGTGAGCAAAAGTCCATATGAAACGCATCTATACATGTGCTGAGACATCTTTACCGCTACCTATTTCCTCTGTTTAGTGTAATATGGCCATGAGCAGGGAAACAAGTCTACAGAGAGGCTTTTCTGAAGCACATCCAGGAAAAAAGAGACGTGATAACACTGGGAATGTCTGGAATTAGGGAATTCCGAAACATTTCTATCATGAAAGTTTACACACTGGAACAGGCTAATAACATACTCTTTCTTGAAGATATCTTCTAAGAATTGCCAGAAATTAATGTTTCAGAAGTAGGATACCTGCCAAATTGGCTGATAGTCACAAATGGGCTTAGATTAACTTTTCTGACCTTGTCTGCTGATCAGTTCAGGTCTCAAATATCTTCATATTGCAAAGTCCTCGTAAATTCTGTCCACATCAACTTCTAATTTTATCATTCTTCAAAAGTGATTAAACTCATCCTTCAATATCAGTCAGCTGTTTTTTCTTACATATCCTGCATCTTTGAATTGCAGAGATGAATTAGAAAAATGAGAAAAGGGTAGCTAGCTTACAGTATTCCCCTACTATTATGAATGCCAGCTATATTTTTCATCTAGTGGAGATGATGAGTATGTCTTTTCTGACCCATCAATGTATTAACTTGCACCCTGGTCCCCATTTCTCTGTTTCAGGTAGAGATGGTTTTGTAAAATGCAAAATTCTATTATCTTGCAGAATGTAGTTTTATTAGAAAAGATTAATTGGGAAATTTCCACCTGGATGTTCAAATATGAATATATACATACATGTAACATGATATATCATTTTGGAACATTTTAGGGTATGCTGATTGCTACATACATACATATATTTGCATTTTCATACACAGCTCATGTATTTTATATTTTTATTTCATATAGATTCACAGATAATTTTTCATCAAGTGTGTGCATAGAGATAGGTAAAAATTCAAGATGAAGCAAAAATGAGAGAAGAAAAAGAGAAGGAAGAAAAACCAAAACAAACAAACAAAAATCTTTCCAGCATCCTAGGACATAGGAATGATGAAAGGAATATCTTTTGCAATAAGGACAGTGTTATGGTAGTCCATTTTTGTATATAGATAACTTAAGCAGCATTAACATAACTTAAGCATAACAAGTGTCTCCGGGTCGCTTGAAAAGACCTCTAATCCCTTTGCAGGCTTTTCAAAACACTGCTTAAGTTCACTATGAATAGGTGGACATTTTTTCTACCTTACTTCTCTTCCCTGCTTCTCTGCCACTTCCCTGTTTGCTCAGTTCCCTGCACTGAAAAAGCGAAGACATCCTGTATGATAAAATTCCAATAATAAATTTCAAATTCAAGTATATATTTCCTATATTTAAAAATCTTTTTTTTTTTTCTGTAAGTATTTGGAAAG